AACTGCTCCTCTGAATTTCTCAAGGCCAAAAAGGGTTGTGCTTCAATCATGCTCTATGGTTTGATAGTTTAATGCCCTCCACCCCACCCACCCCACCCCCATGCCTATGAAATCATATCCCATGACTGAAGAAACAAACAGTGCAAACAAAATCTAATAATTTTCTCTCCAATCCAGAAATTAGCCACATCAGGGCAGCACTCTAATTTCAGAATGAAACATAACATGCACGATATAATTTGCCAACAGCTTCTGCCATAGGACAGGAATATTTCAGTAACCTCTGCTCAGCTGGTTAAAACTTTCATTGTGCAAGCAAAATGTGGCCAAGTTTGAACAAAAGACATCAGTACCTTTGGACAGGTGATTTATACCACCTATTCCAACTCCAGTAATATTTTCTCAATACTTTTCCACCTGCAGTTTTTAAGGCATCTTAGATTGGTTTCAAACTTGACATTTTTTGATCTCATCAATTAAAACAGAAAATGTGCAGCTTCTTTTTTTGCAATGGTCTGGCAAAGAAATTCCAACAGTAGGCAGAAATCTGTATCCTTTGTGTTGTGAAGGAAAGGAAAGGCTTTTTCACCCTCACCCAAGACAGATGCATGCACACCCCTAGAAAACGAAAGAATCACTTTCTACAAGCATGAGATTTAGGAAGGTATTTTCAAGACCAAATATGTGGTTGAATGACCGTGAATGTGCAAAAGTTTGGGGGGGGGACGGCAGTAAAACTCGTAGATAACGGCTTCAGTCTTTACCATTTAAAAATATGCAATAAATCTTTTTGTGCCACATTACTGTACCTTATCAAACTAGTTCTCTTGCATTTATCCTCCAACTTGAACAAAAGCAAAGCATCACAAAAACAATTCTGCTTTCAACTTTCCTGAAATTAATGTTATAAAAGGAATCCCAGAGCCAATTTTGTCCTTCCTTTTCATCGGAAGTATCTATTTCGCTCTTTACGCTATAAGACAAAGTAGACACGGAGTTTGATCACGCAGTACAGCTATTTCTCCTTTTTCAAAATGACTGGAAACAGCTTATTCTTATATATTCAAAAGGAGGGGCGAAAAGAACACCAGCAGATCAAGGAAAGGGGGCGAGTCAGGCGACCACCGACTCCGAGTTCAAAAACCCGCTTTTGAGATTTGGAGGCGAAAAGAAACACGCAGCACGGAGAGAAGATAAGCGGGAGACAACTGACAGGGAAGTTTGTGTCAACCGGCATGGGTGGTTGGTTGGGTTTAATTTATGCACTCTGGTAATCGACCTCCTGATTTAGGATGCTACCGAAAATTAACCCACCACCGCGAAAAAGACCAGTAATTAAAAGCTCTACCGTTCAAGGCGCCAGCGATTAAAAGTCTCTACTGTTCAAGGCGTGTATACGTTGGCCCGGCCGCCGAAACGCATGCGCATTTGGGGCGCTGGCTTTTTTTTCCGCATTAGGCGGGTCTGTCGCTCTAGAGGTTGCCCTGGTGATGGTTGTTATGGCTACCGAAGACGCTTTAGTGGGCCCTGAGGCGCTTCTCAAGTAAGATCGGGAATCGCGCGAGTGGACGGAAAGGAGAGTTTAGGATTGAGAGCCAGGTAGTTCAGAAAAGGAAAGAAAGAAAAACCCGAAAGGAAGGAGGGGCCGAATCGGGGTGGTGGGTGCTGGGTGCTGGGGAGGGCAGCTGTTAAAGGAAGGGTTCGGCAGAATTGGCTGGCAGCTCCTGGTATTTTTCTATTGTGATCTAATCCACGTTTGGAAATTGCTGAATTCATTGCTACAGCTATTTCCACGTGGTGGAGGGATCCATAACTTACTGTTCCCCAAATTAAATAGAGACATTGGTTTAGGGAATAGAATGTCTCAGCTCTCCATGTTAGGCAGAATTAATGAATCCATAATTGCTAAGTAAATAATGTTTCTCATACACATTTATTCTTTCCCACTTCCGTTCCCATCTCAAAGCATTGTTACCTCTATTATTTTTTATCCATTTTTCTCCTTTAATCATATGGAAAGTTGTGAGGTTATTCCCATCTCCTTTTAACCTCCAGAACATTCTCTACTATCCCATTTTGCATTCATTCATTCATTCATTCATTCATTCATTCATTCATTCATTCATTCTCTAAGCAAATGGACACATATCCAAACAAAGTATTAGGCTGCAGCCACTCACCATTTTTATTTTCTGAGAATGATTACAAACTCTATAGATAAATATCTGTATAAGAAAGAAAGAAGAAAGATGATACCCAAGTCTAGTTTTGTCTTGTCTTGTTTTTGCAGCATGTCAAGTTTTCTTATGATTTTCTAAAAAACTAATTAAGTGGGATAAAGAAGCCTAGTGGGTACCAAGAAGTGCTTCTAGTCACACCAGGAATGACTGCCTGGTCCTATCCAAAGTAGTAATCATCAGCTATACTGGAATTGCAGTTTTATATTTATTTATTTATATTTCAAATTTGATCACCGCCCATCTCATTAGGGAGCGACTCTATATTGGAATTGCAGAATAACTATGGTGAGTGGAGGATGCCAGGTAGAGAGATAGTATTTTCTTTACAAATTTGCTGAGAAAGAAATAGTTTCATATACTGGACAATTTTTAAATAAAAGTCCTTGGGAAATAATGCTGGCCAATGTATGGAGAGTTTATGGCTTACAAGAGTTTTTAAACTACTGTGACAAAATTGTATGACGGAGCCAGTAGATGGCAGTAATAGTATCTTAATTCTTGTGTTGCTTTAATATAAAATTCGACAGGTGAAAAAGTGGAAAAAATAAGAACTTAAGCAGTCCTCAACTTAGAAGAATTCTCTTGTATTCATGTCATACTACACAAGTTCAAGGCGTACTGGATTGCCCCGGACTGTATTGCGATGGCTGCAGAGCCTTGACCTCACTTTCTCACCAATGCACTTCCGTAGGTAAGGCAAATAAATTCAAGAGGATTGGCATTGTTCTTCTTCCTTCTTGATGAGTTTCCCTGTTTTTGATCAGATGGCCAAGAATCTGATTGGTACTTGACAGGCTCAGTAGAAACAAGAGAATATATTAAAATGCCAGCGTTTTTTTTTTTAAATTTCAAAAAGGCTAACAGGGTTGCTTATTAGAAATTGTTTATCTATCTCCAGAGAATCTCACCAAAATACACATATGCCCCCCCAATTGTGCCTTGACCCCAAAACACTTTCTCTTTTCTACAAAAAAACCCACCTGCCTTATAGCTTGCATTCAATGTCACTGTGTTTTTGAGTGAACCATAGTGAGTTGTTGTTAGTTTATTTGGAAATTTGGCTTTCTTCCTATTAAAAAAGCAGGTTTTATTTAAAATGTGTGACTTAAGATTTGAGGCTTGTTGTGTTTGAAGAAGACAGTTTATCTAAATCATTATACATTTATTGAAAAACTGACTCCAGAATGAGTTTTCAGGCAGCTAAGGCGTGGCAGTTATAAGAGGGGAAAAAATTGCTATATATATTAAATATAACTATACTGAAAGAGTAAGGCTAAAAGATGAAGTTGGCCAATATTTATTAGTGGTGAATGCATTCAGTCGGCAGTCTTTATCTTGATATTGACTCTTAATGATAAGGTTAACTATTACAATACTTGGCCTAATTTTTTAGCTTTTCTACATCTTTTGTTTTTTTGTATCACCTTGCCTGATGTTGAATCCTGGAGTTATTGAACATTTGCACTGTTTTAAACATTTTTGGTTGATCATCAATAAAGATATTGACCAAGTATTGATTTGAGATTGTTTTTCCTTATAGAACAATGTAACTATTTTTGCTTTTTATGTTCTCATTGGAGTCATCACTGCTGGGAAGGTCAAGCCAAGTCCAGTTGATGTTCTTGAATGTACTTATCAATTTTATCTGTAGGTTTAAACATTTTCCCATTTTCTTACAGTAGATTTTCTTTCCATGAAATTAAACCTGTAGCTTTATAGAATTGATTCCAGATGAATACAGGCCTAAACTCTAAAGATAAAGGGTAAACTTTGGGGAGACATAGAAAAGGGAATTGGTTATATCATATGATTACTATTGTTCAATTCTTACTTTTTAATCCTTTTTCTGGCAGGGGAAATTTGAATTTACTGTTGTTTTATTTATCAGAGATATGAGGGTAAAAATGGAGAAGAATTTTTATTAAGCCCTTTTCCAAAAGGAAGTATAACTAAGCTTAAAAAATAAGCCACCCCCCAAAAACTCGACCTCTCATAAGTAAGGATCTATATTTAGGGAATGACATAATTACATTAAGACAGATCCTAAAGAAGCTAGTCTTTCATTCAATTTTTTAATTTTATATTTTATTTTGAATAGGGATTTTTCAAATGGTTACCTTATTGCTGAAATATTCTCTTGGTACTACCCAGAAGACATTCAAATGCATTCCTTTGTAAATGGAACCTCCCTAAGTGTCAAACTCAGTAACTGGTCACTGCTCGGAAAGGTGAATAATAAATGCAATTGTGAATCTCATATAAATTTTAATATATTTTAACATATACAATAAAATGGAGGCTTCTTATTTCTTCTTTAAACTATTGGCAGTTAATCAAAATGCAATCAATAGTCATAGAAAAATAATTTATACTATTGTTTATCTGTGCTATAAAAATAGTATTTATAGTGGCTAGAGGGAAACACTACACATTTATATTTTTAATCGCCGTGTCTTTCCAGTTGTGTTACTCAGATATTATAGTCTATGTTGATGGCAGTTCTTACATTATGTAAAGTAAGCTGTTCATCTCTTTCTGATAAAGAACTGAGGTCAAGAAAATGAATTCTTATCTGAAATACGTTACATTTCCTCTTTGTTTAAGTTTTTTACAAAAAGAAACTTGAAGCCTACACGAGAGCTAATTGATGGGACAATTCATTGTAAACCAGGAGCTGCAGAAATATTTCTCCAAGATATTTACACAATGCTGACAAACAGACGGTATGTTTTATTTGTTCAGTGCTATATTTGAAAGCTGTATGTAATACCTAAATGTTAGGATTAAGTAACACAGAAGACAATTCCTGCCTGTAGGCTCACAATCCAGTACTATAATTTTTCCAAGGAAAAAATAAATTAAATGGGAGGAAGAAAACAAACAAATGGAAGCATTGATTTGTGAATCTGTAGAACTTCAAGTTAATTTGGGGAGATGAGCTTCAGTGTGCTTAAGTAAATATACAAGCACACATGCAGCTCAGCATTTCCTTATCCTTTGGCCAGTGAAAGAAACTGGATTATGCTTTCTTTACTGCAAATGCCAAGTGTTCAAAACACCAACTTCAAAGGCAAACAAACCAGCAGTAATTCCAGTGAAATGCCTAATTATTCATGGCTTCATAATAGAAAGCAGTTTTTACAAGTCAGATGTTAGTAATAGATTATAGAACGTTTCCTTAACCTCTGTGATGGTTATACCTACTGTATATTCTCATATTGGCTTACACTTTACAACAGGAGTGGTGACTTGTGGCCCTCTGTATGTTGCTGAACTCTAACTCTCAGCATTCCTCACCATTAGCCTTACTAATTAAGACTGACGGAAGTGAGACTTCCAGTTAAGAACCATGACGAGCTAAATGTCCCTTTTTGCAGTGGGACGGCAATGGAGACTGGCACGGAATGCAGGATCCTGGCCACTGAAATGCTATCTGTATTAAATGCTATCTGATATCTCTGAGATAGCCCACATGACTTTGCACAGCCACTCCTTGTGAGTAGCCGCAGGAATAGTCATTTCGCAGTTTACCTATGGATTAAGCGGCTGGAAGTCAAGGGAAGAACTATCTTTGCTCACAGTCATTAACACAGCTTTTTAAAAGGACGTTAACTCACTTCTTAATCAGTTTGGATTTGTTTGTTTGTTTTTCTGTGTTAAAGGGATTAAGATCCTTTTTAAAGGCAAGTTATATTGTATTTGCTAGGTGAGTCACCTTCTCCTTAGAGGAAGAACTTTTATATATGATTTTTGTAGCCTTTTGAAAAATATTACTTTTTGGATTAAACAGCAAAAAGGTGATCAGGATATGGACTTCAGAGACTAACAACAGATTAAGGGCTCAGATGGACTTGGAATTTTAAATGCCCACAAAGAGCTTAGAATTAACTAGAAGAAATTTTCT